GCTACAACCCATGGGGTTGCAAAGTTGGACACAAGTGAGCCACTTTCACGTCACTATGAAGATAAATAGTGCCTGGGTTTTAAAGAGAGGAGAAAAAGGTTTTCTATTATGCCTGGCCAAATAGACAAGGGCCAGCTAGAAGCTAGAATATTGGTTGAGTTTAATCATATTACAGTAAAAGCTGTATTAGGGACTGTTGACTGTTAACGTTAAGGTATGTGTTTGCATGTGTATGTGTGTGTGTATGTCTGTGTAAGAAGAGAAAGTTCAGATTCAGAATCTTATATAATTGATTATGCAAAGTAATTTGAGCCAATATGATATATAATCAAGCTATTTTTCTCTTCATTTTGCCTGCTGTATTGGAAATACATGGTAATAGGATGAGTGGATGTTAGGAGGCACAATGAGTAGAATTGGTAGCAATGGAGATAGGTAGGAGTGCAAGGATTTTGGAGTGGTTGGGAAAATAAAATGCATTAGATTTCTTGATAGATTAGTAATAAATTATGGAATAGAGAATAATGTGAACAGTAACATCTAGGTTTCTAATTTGGTTGAATTGTGGTGACAATCACTGAGGTAGGACACTGTGGAAAACGATCAGGTTTAGGGAGAAAGAATATGAGTTTGAATTTGAGTATGTTGATTTCTGGAGCTCAGAATTCATGGAGATGGGTAGTAATGCCCAGAGATCAGAGAGTGGAGAGAATTAGATCATTGAGGGAGAGTGGAGAGATTTACAGTTTGAAACACTTTAAGAAGCAATCATCAGTGGGGTTTGTGAGGAGGGAAAAGAGAGTGCTTTGTCACTGATGCCAAGGAAACAAAATAGTCAGTAGTGGAAGGACTCAAAAATGTCTCTGGGACATGTGTACCCCAATGTCCATCGCAGCACTGTTTATAATAGCCAGGACATGGAAGCAACCTAGATGCCCATCAGCAGACATCAATGTATGACAAAACCCACTACAATATTGTAAAGTAATTAGCCTCCAACTAATAAAAAAAAAAATGGGAAGAAAAAAAAAAAAAAAAGAAAAATGTCTCTGGAATTTAGTGGCCTGGAGAGAGGTCATGTGTTACTTATATAGAAGAGAGAAGCTGTGCTGACCTGAGCTGAGGAATGAGTGTGAGGGAAGATAGAGAGAATGTGCAGTCATCCTTTAGGGAGATGTGATGTGCAAAGGGGGAAGACAGTATGACATTTGGAGTATTATGTGGGGTTGAATAAAGGTTTCTTTTATATGGGAGATATTTATTGGAGTTTTAATAGCTGTCGATACACAGTGCTGACATTGAGCTCAGTATAACATGTTCAGTTCAGTTCAGTCACTCAGTCGTGTCTAACTCTTTGCGACACCAGGCCTCCCTGTCCATCACCAGCTCCTGGAGTTTACTCAAATTCATGTCCATTGAGTCGGTGATGCCATTCAACCACCTCATCCTGTGTCATCCCCTTCTCCTTCTGCCCTCAATCTTTCCTAGCATCAGGGTCTTTTCAAATGAATCAGCTCTTCACATCAGGTAGCCAAAGTATTGGAGTTTCAGCTTCAACATCAGTCCTTCCAGTGAACACTCAGGACTGGTCTCCTTTAGGATGGACTGGTTGGATCTCCTTGCTGTCCAAGGGACTCTCAAGAGTCTTCTCCAACACCACAGTTCAAAAGCATCAATTCTTCAGCGCTCAGCTTTCTTTATAGTCCAATTCTCACATCCATACATGACTACTGGAAGAACCATAGCCTTGACTAGACAGACCTTTGTTGGTAAAGTAATGTCTCTGCCTTTGAATATGCTTTCTAGGTTGGTCATAACTTTCCTTCCAAGGAGTAAGCGCCTTTTAATTTCATGGCTGCAATCACCATCTGCAGTGATTTTGGAGCCCCCCAAAATAAAGTCAGCCACTCTTTGCACTGTTTCCCCATCTGTTTGCCATGAAGTGATGGGACTGGATGCCATGATCTTAGTTTTCTGAATATTGAGCTTTAAGCCAACTTTTTCACTCTCCTCTTTCACTTTTATCAAGAGGCTCTTTAGTTTTTCACTTTCTGCCATAAGGGTGGTGTCATCTGCATATCAGGTTATTGATATTTCTCCCAGCAGTCTTGATTCCAGCTTGTGCTTCATTCCGCCCACCCTTTCTCATGATGTACTCTGCATATAAGTTAAACAAGCAGGGTGACAGTATACAACCTTGACGTACTCCTTTCCCAATTTGGAACCAGTCTGTTCCATGTCCAGTTCTAACTATTGCTTCCTGACCTGCATACAGATTTCTCAAGAGGCAGGTCAGGTGGTCTGGTATTCCCATCTCTTGAAGAGTTTTCCACAGTTTATTGTGATCCACACAGTCAAAGGCTTTGGTGTAGTCCATAAAGCAGAAATAGATGTTTTTCTGGAACTGTTTTGTTTTTCTGGTGATCCAGCGCATGTTGGCAATTTGATCTCTGGTTTCTCTGCCTTTTCTAAAACCAGCTTGAACATCTGGAAGTTCATGGTTCACGTATAACCATGTAGTACATGTAGTATATTTAACATGTAGTATATTTAATTACTTTGAATTACTCTTATATTATTCATTATGGGACTCATAATTCAGAATACTTTGCATTTAATTTCATGAGAAATGCGCTTAGCCCTTGGCACACTGTTGTTTTTAGTTATTTTTATTTTATACTAAGAGTTCAGAAACTCAGCTAGCCCTCAAATCATGTATGTTTTTCCTATTCAAAAGTATGTTGTTGCTGTTGTTCAATCTCTTACTCATGTCCGACTCTTTGCAACCCTATGAACTGCAGCATGCCAGGCCTCCCTGTCTCTCTCCATCTCCCGAAGTTTGCCCAAGTTCATGTCCATTGCATCAGTGATCAGAATCAAATAATAAAATTACAAAAAAGATCCTTTTATGAAGCTGCTCCTGGCTTGCTTTGGCGCAGCATTCCTTTGCTAATTTTAAATGCTGTTGGAGAGTGAAGACTAGGCAGCTGGAAGGAAACCCATGTGTCATATAGTTTACTCAAATGTAAGTCTTCTCAGGAATAGTTAATAATCTTTCTACTTGACATATTTTTTAAAATCAACTTTTTTTTTTTAATTCTTTTTTTTTGTGTGTGGGGGCTGTGCTAGGTCTCGTTGCTGCAAGGGCTTTTCTCTAGTTGCCGTGAAGCGGGAGCTGCTCTCTAGTTAGGGTGTGTAGGCTTCTCATTGTGGTAACCTCTTTTGTTATGGAGCATGGTCTCTAGAGCACAGACTCAATAATTGTGGCACGTGGGCTTAGTTGCTCAGCGGCTTGTGAGATGTTCCCAGACCATGGATCTAACCCGTATCCTGCATTGATAGGCAGATTTTTTACCACTGCATCCCCATGGAAGCCTCTACTTGACATATTTTATGGAGCATATTTGGCTATGGTGTTTTTCCAAATTAATTTATTTTTTAATTGAAGTCCACTGGAGAAATTTAAAGACGTGAAATGAATTTTTTTTTATGTATGATTATAAAAGGATTCAAGATCATTGTAAATATTTCAAACAGTATAGAAAAATAAAAGGAATACTTTCTCTTAATTCCATTACATAGATATTTTGGTGTTCATTCTTCCATATTCTTTCCCTATGCATGTCAAGAGCAGGTTTCAAAATAGTATGTGTTAAGGAGAGAGTGTGAGAGAGAGAATGTGTAGTTAAAATAATACCATATATGTGCTATTTTAAAACCTGCTTTTTTCACTTAGCAGCATAGTTAGGTTCTTTAATGGTGCCATGGCATGTTAAATCGTGTAAGCTCTACCTCTCTTTACTCTGTTTTGCTTCAAGCCTGTCAGTATTGTCAGCTTAAGATTCTTTAACTCAACAATATAAAAGTTTTCCCTTAAGAGGCTGAAATAAAGCAGAATGGTCATAAATTTAATGGTTTATTAAAGATATTAATGGGATGAGTTTACTTGAACTTTCGAGTTTTGGAAGTTGTTAAAATTTTTCCGAGATAGTTGGATTATGAGAGTACGGGGAAAGCTTGGAACATATTTTCAAATGAAGGACATGCCAAAACTGAGGTCTGGGTTGCATTTGGTAGGTAAAGTAGGCAGGAGGCCAATTTTAGAAATTAGACATATGGTTTCGATGACTTCACAGGTTCAAAACCTGAAGCCAAAACCTGGGATGTTAGACCAAACCACAGTACATCTTTAAAATTTGGATGGTTACGTTAGGATCAACTCTTAAGAGATTAAAGGTGAGCAGCAAATAAAAGTAGAGATCAAGTCTGAACAAAAAGGTGTAGAACATAGCTCCAGGTTCAAGCTAGGCATAGGCTGGGAACTGCAGTTCAGTTTCAGTTCAGTTGGGCAGATTATCAGAGTTGCATACCTGCTATGTGATCACTGGCTTCATGACAATGTATTTGTCTTTGTTCAGGTTCTAAGCACCCTTGGAAATGGGTAAAGCTGCTAAGTGTATGTGTCTGGGGAGTTGGATAGGTCATATGAGGTTTGTAGGAAAGGGCTAGGTTCTTCCTTTCAGGGATACTTTGGATCAGGATTTAGAGGTATAGTCAAGGTATAATAGGCCTCTTTTCTGATCCACTCTCAGCATCCCTAGCCCCCAGCCCTTGCTGTACATACCATATATTCATCTCAGGGAATTCATATGGCTCTTTTTATGCCTTGAAATGCTTCCTGGGAATATACAGTTAACACATTCATTATTATAAGTTCATAGAATGGTAAAAAAATAAATGAGAGGAAGGAAAAACTTTCCTTTTGGGTGGGATAACGTGGTTCACTAATAAGGAAGATGCCATCAAGAAAAAAAGTTGAAGATGTTACTAAACTTAAACACTATTATTATTATTTCATGCCACTCCCTGTCATTTTCCTCCTGATTCAGTCTTATACTTTTTTTTTTTTAAACTATAAACTCATGAATATATTTTCCGTAACAGCACCAGGTCAGTAGTGGTGAAGGGAGTATGAATGATTTATCTTCTTGTTTTCTCAGGCACAATAACCTTGGTGCGCGACCAAAGGGATTATCCACTCTGGTGAAGAGTGGTGTTCCTGAAGCATTGAGGGCAGAGGTATGGCAATTATTAGCAGGCTGCCATGACAACCAGGCGATGCTGGATAGGTACCGACTTCTTATCACAAAGGTAGGAGCTCTTTTCATGTTACTCTCATGTGACGATATATTAAGTAAATCCTGTTTTCATAGCTCCAATAAGTCATAAATGCTTTGAACTTTTTGAAAAGCTGTACTGCATCATTTGGTGAATATGTCTGCCTTTTGTTCTGAACACTTGTTGAATAGTGATAAAGAGTGGACTGTAGTCATCTATGCACACTTAATGCCTTGGCTTTCATTTTTTTCATTTCAGTGGTTGTTATAACTGTTCACTAAGTTGGGATATACTTATATTTCGTGTACTTTCAATTAACCTTTCTTATTGTGTGAGATTTATACACAGTTGTACACAGTATAATTGTACTCTAGTATAATTTTAAAATCAAATTAACTTGAAATTATGACTGTCTGTGCTTATGTAACCTTACACGTAGATGATGTGGATAGTTGCCCAGATCCTTATCCTGTCAGGAGTCTCTGGTTCCAATGTAAATTCCTCTGCTTATGTCCAAAAACCTGATTTTAGAACATGGGTAATCCTGGCTCCTAGGCTTTCTTCTTAGGTCTTACCTCCCAATTTCTTAATCTATTGTAAATCATGGATTTTAAAATAATGATAACTTTTTTTTTTAAAGAAAATCTCTATTATAAAGGAATTTTTTTGTTCAGTAAGACTTTACTACTCAGGCTACATAAGCTTTTAAAATTGTTTAGCCCCTCTAATTCCTTCTCCCCTCCCTTACCTCTTTGCCTCCAATCCTTCCACAGATGTTTTCTTAGTTCCTAGTATAGTCAGTCACTGCTCAATTCATATATTAAACACCTGTTTATACCATTTCTAATTAGTATTTTCTGTAGTGGGATGTGTAGGATAATCGATTGATGTTGAGGGCAGATATCTAAAGTTCCATTTGCAATTTTAAATTGCAAATACAAAGTGATGTTATGCTATACTCATATTTGCTGTGCTGTCGTACCTTACTAAGTTCTTGGGGCTAATAGCCACTTATCCCTTGTGGTTCAGGAGTGAGGTGGGGGACGAAGGGACTTGCATACTTCTGAATGAAATAACAGTGGTGCTCACACTCATGTATTCACTTTTAGAATATTCAGTTTTCTTGCAGTTTGCATGCATTAGGTTAGGTGGATTTACAGGTTATCTAGTTCTAATCTTCATAGCATAGATGAATGGTTTACAAAGATTTATGTCACAGGATGCTACATATCAAGGTATTAAAAAAGAGAAACACATTACTCTTTTCCTTCAGTCAAAAACTAATATTATGATAATGGATGATAAAGCAACTACTTTGGGAAATAAATTCATGTTATAGGAAAGGATGTTTGAAACATTTGGCAATTTGAACATCACTGTGATTTTTGTGATTGAAAACTGCATGTCTGTGTTATTTAAAAACTCTACCATTTTCTTTCTTTTAAATCTGGAATCATAAATTTCAAGAACATTTAAATCTTGTGCAAGTAGTTGCAGGAAATTGAGACCGATTTTTAGAAATATAAAAATTCACTGCCTGCTGATTTGTTAAGAATACTTTGAGAAAATGAGTAATCCCCTAGCTTTATTTCAACAAAATGGTTGATGGCGGGACTGAAACCAACGAGGTGCCTCTGCTCTCTGTTAGTGTTCTCCAGATATGATCACGATTAAACCATGAATCAGAAAACTGATTTGTGAAGGTTTTCAAACTGTCACTTCATAAATTGCTTGACAAACATATTAAAAGATAAGGAGTCGTAGTGTATGATTCTGTCCATATGAAATGTTCAGAATAAATAAGTCTATAGAGACAGAAAATAGACTACTGTTTGTCAGGGGATGGAGGAGGGAGGAATTGGGAGTGACTGCTAACAGGTTTGGGGTTGCGTTTTGGGGTGATGAAAATATTCTGGCATTAGAGGTGACGGTTTCTCAACATTGTTAATATACTAAAAACCAGTGAATTGTACACTTTGGTGAATATTATGTCATATAAAGTTTATCTTCATAGAAAAATTATAGAAAATAAAAAATTAAATGACCTATATTTTATATTGAATAGCATTTTTGTAGTATTTTTGTTAAGCAAACATTTTTCATTTTAAAAAATCTTTTTTATAGTCTGTTTCTATGCTTTATGGTATTTTTATTAGTACAGTAGCACTTGTGAATAATAAACATAAATAATAAATATACATATATTGGAAGTTTATGCTCGGACATTTTTATTAATGATACCCATCTGAGCAAAAATGTCCAAAGACCATAACTCTTGGCATCAAATCACTTTTTCCCATGAGTAAGTAATTGTATACTTTCAATGACTGTTTATGGGGTAGCAGCTACTGTCATATTCTTTTCTCCACTAAGAGGCTTTGTTAATTCATACCGTTTAAGATTTCAAACTTTGGGAGAAAAATGAAATTAGTCTGCCACAATATTGTTTATAAACTCCTGACCATATACTATATCACTATATATCACTATATGTGTGATAAAAGTTTTACTAAGCATATACTTATACACATATACTAAGCAACATGGTGGTTTTGAATATACAGTTTTCAGGAGAAAGAGCCAAGAGACAGAATGACATAAATTGTTTTCATTGAATAAAATATTCCTAGACTCCTTTCACTCTGGAATTCTGACAGTGGTTTTACTTTCTGCTTGTGGAGACTGGAGGGAGGAAAAAGCCATATTGTTTTTCTTTGATAATAGTTGGCAGATGCCTGGCCTATGCCATTTGTGAGTTTTTCATCTGCTCTGGACATTCCCTTATGAATCTCCTGCCTTCATTCTGTGTTCCTTTTTCCTGCAGTTTCCTATCTGGATTAGCAGTGCCAACCAACCTCCTGATTGTAGTTGTGGCAGACCTAAAAGCTAGCAGTGATGTTCCCAGTCTTTTGGTCTCCCAGTGTTTAAGAACCTAAGTCCTCGCGTTAATCGATTTTGAAATGTTTAGAACAGGTTCTGCGTCCCTGACTTAACTCTGTCTGATATATTTGGTCTGTGCTTGTCACCTTGTTGTCTCAAATGACTTCTCTACATCGTGTTGTATCCAGTAAAGAGGAAAGGAAAGACAAAAGCATCCAAACTTGAGGTTAAAGGAATAGTCCTCCAGACTGCTAAGTTCTGCCCAAGATTTCTGAAATCAACTACAAGGTTGGGGAGCCCCAGTGCCATTCTCACTTCATACTAGTTGGCTACAAATTTGGGGGTCCCCATAGACTCACCCATGTAGCAAAGTGTTATGATTACAAGGGTTTTTTTTAATAGCAAAAAGATATACATCAGATATACATTAGAGTCAGCCAAAGGAAGAGATACATTGGGCAGAATCTGGAACTGCGAGGGTTCCAAGGAAGCGTACATTGTCCTCAGGGACACCTTACCTTCCCAGCGTCAATCTGTAGTAGTATGTATCACCAACCCAGGCATTTCAGCAAGCTTTGGAGTCCAGAATTTTTATTGGGGTTTCTTTATATATAGAGTTAATCTAATCGTATATGAGTGATTGATTGAATCATTGCCAACCATTTGGCTGAACTAAGTCTTTAGTCTTCTTCTCTCCACTGAGATTGGATTGAAATCACCTGGCTCAACACCCCTATCCTCTAATTTCATGGTTGGTCTTTCTGGCTTGGCCAGCTCCCATGTTTAGTCCTCTTCTTAGAATAAACTGTCTATGGTCCTTCCATGAATCACCCAAAATGTAAGCATAAATTGTAAGAGGTGACTGGTGGGTCCCACCATGAATGACAGAGATGCCTCTGTCATTTGGGAAATTCCAAGTATTTAAAGGTTACATTCCATGAACCTGAACTTTCCTTGAGTCTAGAACTCTTTGGCAGATCTGGACCAGGTGTGTCACCCTTATAAAGAGCTTTTCCTTAAACCCCACAACAACGACTTCCACTTAATTTCCTTGACCAGGATTCTGTTACATGACTATCTCCATGGAATGCTGGAAAATATTTTTTAATTTTTATTTTATTTTATTTTATTTTTTTTCCATTTATTTTTATTAGTTGGAGGCTAATTACTTTACATCATTACAGTAGTTTTTGTCATACATTGAAATGAATTAGCCATGGATTTACATGTATTCCCCATCCCGGTCCCCCCTCCCACCTCCCTCTCCACCCGATCCCTCTGGGTCTTCCCAGTGCACCAGGCCCGAGCACTTGTCTCATGCACCCAACCTGGGCTGGTGATCTGTTTCACCCTAGATAATATACATGTTTCAATGCTGTTCTCTTGAAACATCCCACCCTCGCCTTCTACCAGAGTCCACAAGTCTGTTCTATACATCTGAGTCTCTTTTTCTGTTTTGCATATAGGAAAATATTTTTTTAAAATGGTATGTTGCAGTTCTTCTTCATCCACTGAAATATGAGTTTATTAATAAGAAAGAGACACTTAATACTAGGTAGACACCTGCCTTTCTATGCAACACCTGCCTATTGATAGTGACAGTGATTGAGCTTTTTGTTGTGGAATAATTTATTATGAAAAGCATCTAAGCCTAGTAGCTTATTTTAGGACAGCAAATGTTTACTAATCACCGTTTGAGATTGACTAATAATGTATAATTTAAAGATAGTATAGTAAATATTTTCACCTTTGGTTTATAAATCATTGACCACATAAACTTTTTAATGTTATTAATATTTCTATCATTAACAGTGCCATTTACCAAAAAGCATTTTCATGTAAACAATGTAGAAATGTGTGGCTCTGATCATGTGCCTTTATTCAGGCTCTCAAGTCATAACATTTCTGTGAGAGGAAGTACAGTGGTATATTTAATTTCATTGTCTTCCTTGCTTGATAGCCAAGCATAATAAAAATAAGATGAAAAATGACAGTATTGAAAAAATAATTTTGTTCTTTCTCTATGCTTTCGGGTAGAAATCAGACAGAAAGTGCTTGTAGCCAAGAACATTAAGAATGCACTTTGGTGGTGAATGCATATGAGCTTAGGAGATGTTCAGGAGAAAGAGTATGAATACCTAGAGGATTTTCAG